TCTCTCTCTCTCTCTCTCTCTCTCTCTCTCTCTCTCTCTCTCTCTCTCTCTCTCCTCTCTCACTCTCTTAAAAAAAATTTAAAAAAAAAGAAGTATGTATCACCATAAAAAATGAGAGAGGGAAAGAATGAAAGACAGACTGAATAATCACACATACCTGTAGGAGGAGTGTGATGTTGGTGTTCAAGGAGAGACTGAGGGTATCTTCATAAACAGGGCCCTCAAAGAGGTCTACCCCGCCCCAAATGTGCACCTGCGGTGGATGCCACTGATGTAGAGAATGTGAATTCAGAACAGCATGTAAGAAAATAACTCCCAAGTTGGGCATGGTGACATATACTTGTTTCAGCCATTTGGGAGGCTGAAACAGGAGGATCACAAATAGCCTCAGCAATTTAGGAAGACCTTCAGCAACTTAGCAAGACCCTGTCTCAAAACAAAAAATAAAAAGGACTGGGGATGTAGCTCAGTGGTAAAACACCCTTGGGTTCAATCCCTGGTACCAAGAAATAAAAATAAAAAATAAATAAAGAAAAGAACACTCTAAGATAGGTGGATTTGGATGGTGGATAAGATGTGCAAATTCGTGTTGGCTGGTTTTCGGGTTTCCAGCAATGCTTCAGATTATTGTATGGGTGCTGGCCTCCATATGGGCTTTCATGGGCACAACTGTCTCTTTAGCAGTTGTGAATTATAATCAACATGAATATTAATTCATATTAGTTTAATGACTCATACCATATTATTATTAACTAGAGACTAACAATTAATCAGAAATCAGGACCAGGATGAAGAATCAACTGTTCCACTTGTGGACATGCCTAGCACTAAGGACAGTGATATTCCCTGCCATCACTTGATCCTGATTTAGGTACCCAGGGTAGAAGTGACTGCCCGTGGCCCTAGAAATGTGCCAACCAAGGGCACTGGGAGCTGAGATGCAAAATGAGGGTACATTCCCTCAGAAAGCAGGCTCTTGCAGCATATGTGTCGAAGGAAGCTGTTTTATAAAATCGTCCAGTGAGTCTGCTACAGATGACAGTTCCACCATTTCATGGAGAATTGCTGCAGAAGGGAAAACCTATTCTTGACGGAGCTGTGTTCTTTCTTCCCTTTGGGAGAACAGGAGCCCAAATAAATGTATAACCCACACACACACACACACACACACACTGCCCCGCCCCCACACAGATTTTATGCCTTCTAGAGTTGCTTTTTGATGTTTTTCATCCATTAAACCTGCACCGTGCCTCGGTTGTTGCTGGGTGTCTTCAGCTGACCAGTGCTGCTTTGTGATGGGCTTCCATTTCTATTCCTCTGTTTCAGGGAGAGTGGTGAATATCAGCAGTTTACAGGGTTCGAAAGCTCTTGAAAACTGCAGTGAGGATCTACAGGAAAAGTTCCGATGTGACACACTTACCGAGGGGGATCTGGTGGACCTCATGAAAAAGTTTGTGGAGGACACAAGAAATGAGGTACACGAGAGGGAAGGCTGGCCCAATTCGGCTTATGGGGTGTCCAAGTTGGGGGTCACAGTCTTATCGAGAATCCTGGCCCGGCGGCTGGATGAAAAGAGAAAAGCGGACCAGATTCTGCTTAATGCCTGCTGCCCTGGATGGGTGAAGACAGACATGGCTGGGGACCAAGGCTCCAGGACGGTGGAGGAGGGAGCAGAGACCCCTGTCTATTTGGCCCTCCTGCCTCCAGATGCCACTGAGCCACAAGGCCAGCTAGTCCGTGACAAAGTCGTGCAAAACTGGTGAACGTCTTCTTCATGGCTTGATGTTTAATAAATGTTGGTGGAAGGAACAAGTGAATTCAGATGTGGTCGGATTCTATTTCTGGGGTTGAGGAGAAATGTCCACTAGAATCTCCCTGGGAGAAAGATGTCTCGTTCCAGACCCTGGAGCAGAGCCATTTTGCCATCTGTAGCCTGAAAGAAAAGGACATATCAGATTTTAGCAGGCATCGTGATTACATGGGGAACGGGTAGGCATATCACTGTTCCCACCCTATAGTTTCTGATCCAGTAGGCCTAGGGTAGGCCCCAAATTTGCATTTCTAACAAGTTCCTAGTAATGCTGCTACTGCAGCCGTCCTGGGTCAGCAGGTTGAGAACCATGGTATAATGGTCTTAAGAGCTGAGGAGTCCATCTTGGCCATTTTCCAAGCCATTCCTTGCTGTTTCTAGTTTGTTGATTCTGAAGGGTCATAATTTATCCTGTTTCCCTAGCTCTGCAAACTTCCTTTTGTATTTCATTCTGTCTTGCTGTATTTGAGTCTATTTTTATTGGTTCTGTCAAAAGGCAAAATTACAACAAATTTGAAGATCTAAATTGACTTTTACTTATAATTCTCGAGTGGGGCAACATCTCATCCCATAAAATAGTGAGTGTTCTGATGAGCCAAGCCCAGGATGGGAAAGAACTAAGGAAGGCAAGGACAGATGAGAAACAGATTGGTTGTTTCAAAGCTATTTTCTTGTAAAGGTTAAAAAGGAGAGAACTATGTATGTAGGCTAAACCTAGGTTGTTTAGAAATTTGGCTATCATCTCTCTCCTAGTTTTCTTAGTTTTGACCTGGTGAAGTGTAACTTTAGCATGAACAACTCCACCTAGTTTGGTCTGGTAGACCTAGTGTAGGAGCTCAGTCCAAAACCAATGTCTCATTTAAGAAACAGAACTTGAAAGACTCAGGAGAAAGGTCTTGTTTTATTAGGATGTGATTTCCTCCATACTGGGTTTGAACCCAGGGGGGCTAAACCACTGAGCTAGATCACCAATCCTTTTTATTTCTTATTTTGAGACAGGGCCTTGTTAAATTGCTGAGGCTGGATTTGAACTTGCTATCCTCCTGACTCAGCCTCCCAAGCAGCAGGGATTATAGGTGTGTGCCACCGTGCCCAGCCATACTGGGTTTTGTGTCTGCACTACTGCCCAAGGCTGCCCTGCCACGTCTTTCATCATTGTGCTTTCCTAACTGCAGATCATCTCCTTCCCCTGTTGACACCCCTCTCTGAGCTACAGCCCAGGGCGATTTTTTGGATGAATCCCTGAGCCCCTTTTATAGTCTCCATGACAAGAGAGTCCACTTGTGAGTCGCAGTGACTCATTGCTTTCAAGTGGGCTTGGTTTTGAGACTCCTGAGTGCTGGCTATGCCTTATAGAAAAAAAAAAAAAAAACCTGGAGATCAAATGATCTTATCAAAGAGGAGAAATTCCTGGCAAAGGTTTGTAAGGGAGTTAAGACTTGAAAAGGAGCGGCTAACCAAAGGAGACCCCAACAATTCAACAGTTATATGATGGAGAGGATACAAAGGGGGAGAAACTGCAAATTCATTCGCATCACCAAGTACATGACAGCTGTTCAGTGTGAACCAGTGATGGTATACTTGATAATCGTATTCACAAAGGTCACAGMCTATGTCCTAAAAGTTCCTTTCAGACATAAGGAATCAATAAAGCATAGAAATTTTCAAGATTGTGTTTATTTGGGGGACCAAGGCTAAACAAGGAAACCCTGTTATTTCTGGCATATCCCATGATGTAGGCAGGTATCTATTTTTCTTGACTCTCCATCACCTCAAAGTATCAGCTTAACTGTCACCTCACTCTTTCATCCCCTTGGCATGCAGAGAAGTCTGAATCCCACCCAGACTGCATTCCACTTCCTTTTAACCCATTTTTACATCACTCAGTAAGTCCAATATCTATTTACCTTAGGCCATAGCTCCTCCTTTGATGGTTTTTCAACAAGTTTCCTGAATATCTCCCATACCCTGGTCTCTCCCTCCAGCCAACTTCCAGATTCCTGCTGTTGATGAGCAATAGTTGGGGAACCACAGAACTCAGGCTCTGGCTAAGTTACAGACAGAAAGTACACAAATGAACCACTCCTTGATTTTATTTCTACTTCCTGTTTGTCTCTAGCCAGTTCCAGCTTGACAATTGGATTAGCATGTAGTTCACTTGGAAGACACATAATTGTCAGCTGTTGGCCAGAATGACGTTTCCCATGAGAAGTGCTGCAGGGGCCCTCGCTGGATGGTCTCCCCAGCACCCTCTGTCCAGGTATCTCCTGCCTCCCCTCTGCTTCCTCAAGAGCTGAGCTTCAGCAACTGGAAGGTGACTTTGCCCTGCTAGCCTCTGTTGACTGTTCCAGGTTCTTCTAAAAAGTAGGACCAGCTGGATAGGATCAGAGCTGGTAATTCAGCAACATCCCATCCATTATGGTCCCAGGAGCAGAGGGAGCCAGGCCATAACTAGAGAAGAAGGTCAAACCTCAAAAGGAACATTTAACTTCTCTGGAGAAGGCCACTCCCCTCAGTGGCATCCCTTCCCTGGCTTCAGATCATTCCTGAAATTCTGGGTTGTAGGAGATGCTACAAGATACCCTTTATTGTGATTCAGATCTTAAATGTGTCCCCGAATCTCCTGTGTTGAAAGCTTGGTCCTCAGCCAATGGTGCTACTGAGATGGAAAGTTTAGGAGATGGGCTCTAGCTGGGGGAAGTAGGTCACTGGGGACATGCACTTGAAGGAACCCCAGTCCCTTCCTCTCTCTGCCTCTTGGCCACTCTAATGTGGGAGCAGCTTGGCTCTGCCACATGTTCCCCACCAATTGTTCTTTATCTCCACAGATCCCAAGTGACCATGGACTGAAACCTCTGAAACCATGAGCCAAAATAAATCTTTCCTCCTTTTAAGCTTGTTTTTCTCAGACATTTTATTACAGTGATGAAAATCTGACTAATATAGCTTTGTCTCCTTAAAATTTCCCTTTTCCTTAACTAGGTCAAATTGGATCGTGGCTACTTGTGATCCAAAGGAACATTGTAAATAGAAGTACACTAAAGTATTTCATGGTATGCTGCAGAGAAAAGAATAATTAGGCTTGGGATCAAAAGGAAAACAAAATCATGAAGTGAGAACTCATGGCATGCAAAGCTTTGTCATACTAGTACTTTTCCAACATGATTTTACATAATTCCACCACAGTCCCTTAAGGTCATTTTTCCCCCCAAATGAAGACATAAAGGATGAGAGAGGCTAATTAGTATACTTAGGATCATAGAGCTATGAATCAAGCCTGGACCATATCCAGGACTATCTTACTTTTACAAAACTCCTTGGTGCTTGGCATCTGTAGCTTCTGCTGTGACTCTAGAGACCATGGATAACTCTCCTGGTGTAAAAATTAAGGGAGATGGGCTGGGATTGTGGCTTGGTGGTAGAGTGCTCGCCTGGCATGCATGAGGCACTGGGTTCAATCCTCAGCACCACATAAGAAAAATGAAATAAAGATACTGTGTGTCCACCTACAACTAAAAATTAAATATTTTTAAAAAATAAGGGAGATGATATAGCTAATCTAAATGATTTGTAAGCTATCTGGCCATTAGATCCCTAAATTATCCTGGATATATTTTTTCCATGGAGAAATGAAGTACGGTTTAAATGCAGCATATTTTAAATTGGTCCTCCTGTACTGATGAAGCCAATGGACACTTCTACAACAGCTTTTCTGTGGTGTGCTTTTCTAGGTTCATGCTTGTGTGGTAAACCCACGAATAACACCAGCTTTAGACCTGGCCCTTTGCCTTTCCCTTCTTTTATCAAACTGCAAAAGGAATTGTGACAGACCAAAGCTCTGAACAGCAAAGTCATGTGGAGATGAAATAGGTGATAATGATGAGCAGGACAAAGGTTTCCTTGTTACTGCAAGTTGACCACAAATTGGGCGCAGCATCAAATAGAGACATGCACAAGATTTCTCCTCCACTAAGAGAGCAGCGGGGATGAACACTAGGATGAATGCTGCTGGGTGGATCAGAATTACTTTATAGAACAGGCCTGAAGGGTCACCAATATTTGCATATCAAAACTGAGAATGCATTTAACTGGACAGTGTCTCCAATGGGGGTCAGCCCTAGTCTGAGAATGTAATGGGCTCTGGCATACAAAGTCTTCTTTACTATCAAGAGAATACTACAGTTCAGATGTAAATTAAAGTTGAAATGCTAATTAGTTTGAATACTGTTACACAAGGAACCAGCTCTACTTACACATCTTAAAGAGATGAAATAGACTTTTAAGTGTGACAAGACAAGTTGAGAAAGAAAACAAATTTGCCTTAAGAATAGTCAGTTCTTTTTCAGTGGTGCTGGGGGTTGAACCCAGGACATCGCACATGCTAGCTAAGCATTCCACCACTGAGCTATACTCCCAGCGTGTTATTTTTTTTTTTCCTAGTTGTAGTTGGGCACGATACCTTTATTTATTTATTTTTATGTGGTGCCTCACATGTGCTAGGCAAGTGCTCTGGCACTGAGCCACAACCCCAGCCCCCTGTTTGGTTCTTAATGTTGTAATGCTTCCTATCAATCTTGATTATAAATTGAGTTTTTTTTTAAGGGTTTGCAATATTTGAGTGTCAAACTTATTTTAAATGAATCCCTCTCACACCTGGAGTTCTTTACAGACAGGTGGCATATCTCCAAGGCATAAATTTATATAAGTGTATTAGGGCAAATTGGTAGATGTTGGCTTGGACACAAATGGAGGCTCTTTCTCTTTAATGTTCAGTATAAAGAGGTTCTTTCATCTCTGCTAGTTCAGAACTGCAGTGAGTGTGGCTAGGACTTGAACCACCTAAAAAAAAAAAAAACTCATTTGCCAATTTTTTTTTTTTGCCACTTGGTTTGCCATTTTATGGTGCCCATAAAATTCACCTTTTTCCCCCTGCTAAATGTGGCTTAATTGTTTAATTTTTCTCTGCTTCTATTTAAGATGACTCCTAAAAGTGAT